CTTAAGTCCATGGGTCCCCACTCACCTAGTTGAGCCACTGGCACGTGCTTTTATTCTTAAAAGTGATACAGATAATATGATGGTACTCTATAGACTGACAAATAAAATATTTAGATGACAACCTCCCTGTATTATTTCTACATGATACAAACTTTGTTTAGCACGATCTTGTTTTCATTGTTTATACATAATACAAACCTTGTTTAGCACGATCTTGTTTTCATTGTTTATACATGATACAAACCTTGTTTAGCACGATCTTGTTTTCATTGTTTATACATGATACAAACCTTGTTTAGCGCGGTCTTGTTTTCATTGTTTATACATGATACAAACCTTGTTTAGCACGATCTTGTTTTCATTGTTTATACATAATACAAACATTGTTTAGAACGATCCTGTTTTCATTGTTTATACATGATACAAACCTTGTTTAGCACGATCCTGTTTTCATTGTTTATACATGATACAAACCTTGTTTAGCATAATCTTGTTTTCGTTTATCATACAGAGACATCACGTGGAATATGATGTTTATCAAAACCAAGACACCAACAACACAGATAGCTGTAAGAATGGTATTACTATTGTTTTGTTGTGTGCAGACATTATTTGCTGGGCGTGGAGATTGTGTCGGAGTTGGTGTTTTATCGTAATGAGTTGAACTTGTTTTTGGTTCAGTTGGTTTTCTTGACGTAGTATCTGAAATTGAAATAGAGATAACTTCATATTAGCGGATTTGAACAGTACAACGTGTAAATTCATAAATTGATGGATTCCAGATTAAAGTTCGAATAGCTATCGAAAGCTACTAGATAATTGAAACTGACGTATGCTTCTATCTTCATCAATCTTACGCTGAAATGGGCATATCTGGATGAGTGTTATATCTATTTGGTCTTTAGTTTAAATGTTGTTGTATATACATATACCATAGACAAAGATAGATATTAGATATGTTGACTCTCCGAGGTGGATCTCGACTTGACAAACCCAATCGCAGAATTACATCTGAGATTAGGTATGTGGACTTTCCGAGTGATAAGTTGATAAACTCACTCAAACCTACCATGATTCTCTACTGCGATGTTAAGGGATTTATTATAGCCAAGGGGATGAACACAACCCCATTGTACTCTTCCTGGAGAAAGTTCACCTTTAACTTGTAATGTTAGTACATAACCAATCGGATATTTATCTGATTTCTTATTAGAGACACATTGATATTCTTCTTCTTTCACGTCCTTTTCAAATTGACACGTCTGGTTAACGATAAAGTTGTCATTTTTTTTTCAACTTAAAAGTATTATAAACAGTATCACAAGTGATATTATAAGTTTCTCTTGGTGATACAGTGGTAGAGGAAGCCCCGATAGAGATATATTCTATAATAATAAAAAAAATACAAATAAATTTTTATTCGTAAACAAACAAATTGAATTTGGTTCGTGGTTTGTTATAGTTGCTTGTTCGTTATTTAAGCTGAATTTAGTTCGTGGTTTGTTATATTTGTTGGTTCGTTATTGAAGCTGAATTGAGTTCGTGGTTTGTATAGTTGTTGGTTCGTTATTGAAGCTGAATTTAGTTCGAGGTTTGTTATAGTTGTTGGTTCGTTATTTAAGCTGAATTTAGTTCGTGGTTTGTTATAGTTGTTGGTTCATTATTCAAGCTGAATTTGGTTCGTGGTTTGTTATAGTTGTCGGTTCGTTATTGAAGCTGAATTTTGTTCGTGGTTTGTTATAGTTGTTGGTTCATTATTGAAGCTGAATTTGGTTCGTGGTTTGTTATAGTTGTCGGTTCGTTATTGAAGCTGAATTTAGTTGGAGGTTTGTTATAGTTGCTGGTTCGTTATTGAAGCTGAATTTAGTTCGTGGTTTGTTATAGTTGTTGGTTCATTATTCAAGCTGAATTTGGTTCGTGGTTTGTTATAGTCGTTGATTCGTTATTGAAGCTGAATTCGGTCAAATTAAAATAACTTACGTGATTCACCGCCTTGTATCCTTATTATAACCAGATAATAAACACCAAGATAAAAATACATCATTTTATTGATCTGTTGTCAGCACCACGATTCAAATATAAATGATTATTATCATATATCACTTACATCCGTAGTATGTGTCATAGAGTAACAGAAAACGATATTTAATCAGGAAGTTAAAGATATAGTACCTCTTAGATGACCATGCCCACTTGGTGCACAAAAGTAGGACGTAAAACTCCATTCATTTCATTTCATTTAGAATGACCACCATATTGAATAATAATCCTTTAGCGACATTCAGGGGTAGAGATCACATTAAATAACGGACACAATTTAATGGTTTACTACTCCTTAGTTTTATTACACACAACGTTTCAACAATCTACATTGTCATAATCAGGCGAAGTGAGGAAATATGGTACAAGAAGTTATATATATATATACACAAAAATATAACAATAGCAACAATTAATTAGGGATTAGGAGTGGCAATAAACAATAGGATACAATATTGAATAATATTCTTACCTGGGGTCAAAACTATACGACATAATCCCTCTATAATATAATAAATCCATAAAACTAAGTAATATACCATTAAACAAAGTAATTTTGAAACACGCTTAGAAGCGCTTTTCAATGATTACTTAGTAAATGGAAAGATCGTGTTATATAGAGATTCTATTTTTCAGTCATGGCACCTGGTAAATCCAACTGATCAATATATACTCTTATTGACCATGTTTGAGACTTTAAATTCTATTTCTATTCTAAGTGGTATTATTCCTTTAACGAACGAACAATCATTTCTTATCGTCGCCGTTAAAAAATGGTGGACCATTCAGGTCGACTATACGAGCCATTTTTTTGCCAGAAAAACGGCTATACTGTTATAGGTACTTTTCATTTCAGGTGAATATGGGAACCTCGTTGGTTTAACAAATAGATCTGATTTAGTAGGCGGTGTAGTATAATATATTTATGGTTGTTATTAGTTAATAAAATGTTTTAATTTCCATGTTTTTATGAGTAAACTGACAGAAAGGTGATTCATTTTTAAAATATTTACTATCTCCATAACAGGTTAATGTTAATTAAAGAACGATAATTCATTTTAACCTATTTTACTTCAGACCACAGTAAAACTTCTTATCCCAATTTCACTGATAGAAAAGATAACTCTACAATCTCCATAACAGGAACGATAATTCATTACAAACATTTTAAATTCAGACCACAGTAAGCATCGCCTAAACGGAAACTTACTCTAGCTCGCGATAGTAATGCATAACCCTGTCAAGTTTTTATGGGATTATAAGATATCTTGATGCGAACAGAGCCACCAAGCCTAACTGGATCAGAATAAGCCCATCACAGTCATTAAGTTACAAAAAAACACGAAAGTGTCTAACAATGGGACAGATTAATCTTGAGGACAAAAATCCTGAACATCTGATCCTTAATCAATCGATCATTGATCACTTTACTGATCGTCTCCTGATCTGATTGATTAGCAATTATTGATTTAATGTCATTTCATCTCCATAATTCTGTTTTTAGACTTTGGCAGGGTCCATCACTGCCATAGTCAAATTTCAACACCGGTTTAGCAGAAGGAATAGACATACATAGGCGACCCGAAGTCTGATTGTCAATTTCGTGCTATGAGTTCGAATCCGATGTCAGTTTAATGTCATCTACTCTACTACATCAATGCCATAGTTAAATTCCACCACCAGTTCGGCGCCTGTTTAGCAACATTCTTCCACTTCAATTTCATTTTTCTGGTCGCTTCAAATTTGAGAGTCCGCAAAAAAAAATTCCTTATGTATTTGATATAATGTCTTAAAGATATCTTTTCTTTTTTTGATTTTTCATAACATTATGTTAATACCATATATTATAGTTGCAATCGGCAATGTCAATAACCATACCGTAAACACTGACCAAGGCCAGATAGTAAAGTATTCATTGTGATATATTAACGATTGTTCTTATTAATATTCACTAGCAATCTGACAATATTCCTAAATTATCCACACTCCAAATCATCATAAATATCGACAGAATCGTCGCTGTACCAACTCTCGTTAAAGGGGTTGTAAACGGGTTTTCTTTAAAAAAAAAAAAACTGTATGTGTATCAGGGACACTATTACACTTATTTTTGTGGAATTGCAGGAACCGCAGACGTCTGATTGAAAATTGGAATGGTACAAATTGATGCTCCAATGCACATAGAGAAATAACACTTTTTAAACTCATTACAATCCCTATAAGTTTTATAGAGTTCATGGTGATGTTTATGAGTTATTACAATTTTATGATAGTGACATATTATAGTTTATCATTTGTTGATAATACACGAAGCGATTTTTCAAACGTTTGTTTCAGCCTCAGATAATATGATTTTTTTTTAGAATAATCGATGAGTCGAAATAATACCCCACCTCACTCTTGTGCCAGTGTGTGCTTGGAATAAATCGTTGAAAAATATAAATGCCTAGGTCAAATTCAAGTGCAGATTTCATATCAAACACAATTACCAGTAAATACATAAAAATCTTTAATTTTATATAAAAAGCTTTAGGGTTTTTGGGGGGGGGGGGGGGGGGGGGTTAGGGAGGGGGGTCAAAATTCACAGCATGTGTAGTAATAAGTTCTCAATATGAAGTTAGGAACAGAAAAGGGCAGTTCATTGTAAAAACATTCCTGTGTATAAAAATGACCCCTATCGTGGGAAAATTAAAACCTTGCCTCGTGTGTAATGACCCCCTCAACTGGTTTCACACCCATATTCCCTTTGATCCGCTCAGTCTCCTCCGTTTAGTGTCACAATCAGGGATTGTTAATTGACAGGGGCTGGTTGAATGTCAATCATATATCACGTGATCGTTTTATGGGTGGAGCTTATTGGAATTTTTTTTATATACCCTTATTGCCCAATTTTATTACGTAAACTTCCTCAAGTTTTATTTCCTAGTTGGTTCCTTGTTTATTTATGATTATGTGATATAGTGAACTTTCTTTAATTCGTGTACGTCTGATAATTCACCTTGAACTCAATTTGAAGGTCATCTAAAAAGGTCATCTGGAATCACCAACAAGTGGATATATAGCTTAATTTTGCATAAAAAAAAAAACCAAACAGTCTACAAAATGGCGGTGTGTCATGAAAACTCTAACTCTATGTTTACCTCCAGACCGAGTCCGACCAGTTTCAACTTTCCTCCGTTTGGATATCCGACACAAGCTAGCAGTTACGGTCAGGAATACGGCCAATATCCAACAATGCCTGATGCTCCTTACCAACAACCACCATGGGCAGGAATGTACGGAACGGGACCTCGACCAGTTCCTTCAGGACTTGAAGAATGGACACCGAATTATTTGGTACCGACTTCTTCCATGCAACAGGCGTATAACTACACTTACAGGGCACCCATAACCTCGTCTATGGGGTTAGATTATTCTATGAATGGTTCCCCACCCCCCACGTCCTCGTCTGGAGATGACAGTCCCAATGGGTCCGGTTCCAGCATTTCCAAGACTCTGAGAGCACCGTACGATTGGATGAAATCTGCTGCTATGACCCAGATTCCTGCTAACGGTAAGAATCAATTTCCAAAACTTGTTTTAAACCAAACTCAATCATACTTTCGTTCCATTCGTCGAATCCAGTTTTTCGAATTTCGTTTTTAATACACCCAAATTATAGTAGAAAACACTCCATTTTATTTTTGGAATTATGGAAAACATCCCAACACAAAGAGTATATGAAATAAATCTTTTCGTAAATTTTGCGTATTTGAATAAATTATGATTTTAATTATTTCGGCACTTGGGTGTACATTTAAATTCGAAAGCCACGATTCTGTTTATATATGGCTTTCAGAAGTTGCTGTTATTTGCAGGAATTGTTGCATTTTCATTTCAAATTTGTAAATTTTTTACAGCAAAATTTCTGAGATCGTGCCAACCATTTAAGCAGAATTTTTATTTTTTCAAAATAATTTGATTAAACATAATGTGCTCTTCTGTTTAAATTTTACGTTACCTCAAAAACACTTTTTTTAAATTTTAATATATATTCTTTAAATAAAAATTCGATCCAAATATCATAAATTCAAATTAGTAGTATCAGTTCTAAATTTTACCTGTACAAGTGGGCCACCTGGTGATGTCACGTGCCATGTGATGTCATTAGGTAAATCTAATTAATAATAATTAATTAATGACCTTTAACCTTGGCATATTAAATTATTTTGCTATTTTTTCATGTTTCTGATAATTTTCACGATGTTTTCAGAATTTTTCCAATAAACTCTCGAGATGTCTTAAAATTTTCGACCAAAAGGCAAAAAAATGTTCGGCCAAATTTTGAAATCTCAAATGAATAAAATGCAAACAACAATTCTCTGATAGGAAATTTGAAAAAAAATTCTCGCATAAAGGAGACATTAAGTGTAACACAATACTATTGTTGGAGTCCATTTTTTTTTTAAATGTCTGCATTTCACGATATGTTGTCAAATATAATCCGAATTTGAGGATAATCTAAATGATATCCAATAAAACAATTATAGAATTTAATTTACAAATAATGAACTCTTAATCCACCAATATCCGATAATCTCATTTAATCGTTCCGGGATTTGTAGAGAAAATTGGTGAAATTTGACGGTAGCTGAGACAAGATGGCGACAGTGGGGCGACTAGGAAAGGTGTGAAATAAAAATATTTAAATCTGACACGAAGATTCCAGGCTAGAAAATAAAATTGTTTTTGTTGACAAGTTGTGTTTTGGTAGTTTAACTAAATAACAATACAAATAGTAGGGCTCAATTAACCCCCACAATACCCTAAACTCTTCAATTGGTCAAGGCGTTTTGACTCTAATGTTAACCCTTTATGATACCACCTCATTATTAAACAATAACGTTTTCACCTTCAAGATTTCTTCTTTTATATTCGACAGAAAAAGGGTTAAGGATCATTGGTTTTGAAATATTTCAATGAAAGTTTTTCAAGGGTTAAGATAAGAATAGGGCACTGGATTAGGACACTGTGTCTTATTTACAGTTAGGGGATTAAGCTGTAATTGGGCATAAATAACGAATTTACGTAAATCCAGTCAAGCAAGATTATAAACATTGGCTCAACTAAAAAGGTATAAGCTATGACAGGAAATTTTACGACCACTTTCTGTTTTTGGGTAAGTTTTTTTTTAAAAGTAGACTAAATTGGGTCTAGGACACAAGACAATTTTTTGTTTTTCACCTAATCGAACTGTAGAAATGATATATAATATCATATCTCATGATTGATATCAACACAATAGGTCATTTTTTACATTTTCTTTTCATTATTACCTTAAATATGTACATGAAATTCTGCATTTGATCAGGTATGCTGCAAGGGGTGCCTTCTACGACCACGCCTTTTTTCAGTGAAAATGGAAAGTGGAAGTGGAAATTTCGAAACGTCCTATTTCTTAAACAAAAAGAGCTAAAATAATTGTCATATCTTTATTACGAAATTCAGGTCGAACTATCTTTGTGAAATTAATTACTGATTGTTAGATAATAGACAAAATATGTTCTTTTAATTTCAAAATAAACAGCCAACATCAGAAATATTTTTAACAAATTATCAAATCTTTGAAGGTATTAGAACAAAAGCTTTGATGACGTATTTATGACGTAGTATAAGAATCCAGAAACGCCTCTTCCTTCGTCTGATGAGAAAAACTTCTTCGTGAACTTTTTGAAAATGCCGCAAATTTCCTTAAATTGAAAACCCTATTTTAGTAAAAAGTCATAAAACTCGATTTCGTTCCTAATGATCCATGACTCTAAACTTAAGACAATTCGCTTCTTTTTTCTCTTCAATTCCAACCTTTTGATGTAACCGGTGAAGTAAAATTTCTCACCGGGAGTCGAGAAGCGAAACGAAATGATCTAAGAGTAATAATTTCTACCTTATGTTGTATGGTGATTGTTGAATGAATCTATATTTATTGTCAAGTGTAGGTAAAACGCGGTTCTCAATAGTTTATTATCTTATTAACGATGTCGACAATAAAACTTCAAGACGTTAACCCTCATTAGGAAAACACTATCGTTTATTTCTCGTTAAGGTCTAATAGCGGTGTTTAGGGAGGTGGGGACACCAATAAAATATCCTAACGTTATATTTAAGGTGAAACAAGTTTTGTGTGAAGATACCCAGTAAGGAATTAAGAACAATAGACAGTCAAATTAAGAGATAAAAGAACTAAAACAATACTGAGAACCAGTGAAAAGTGACCACACCGACCTGTAATTTTCACCACTTGTCAATATTTTTGTTGTCACCTTTTCTATAAGTTGATCATGAGAACGGTGAGGGGATGTTCAGGATTCTAGAGGGGATGTTAAGAGGACGATTACACTGGAAAGTAAAATATTGAGAGTTTAAATCGGATTAGATTAGATCAACTTTATTTTCAGTAAATAATAAACAATTAACTCGTGGTTAAGTGGGATTAAACACATATTTTTGGGGTTTTAACATGAAACTGATATCTGTAGAAATAACAGTGAACTACTTAACGGTAATCGAAACATTTCAAAGTTTAAATCGACATAAAACAAAAACACATTGTTTAAAATCTTAAAAATAATTCGTTGTTAGCTTTAATTTTTTGTAGAACTATTTTCTTCAATTATTTAGCTGAGCTAATCAGTAATAGTGTTCACAGCTCACCGTCGAAATTTGAGCTTTCAAATCCATGTGTGTCCACAATTATCCGCTTTTGAAAGTTAAAATGACGACTAGCCTTTTCAAGAATCTACGTTTGAGGTATTTTGAAGGAATTATGCGATTTTCGTCCATTACTAGTACTTTTGAAGACAATGATCGTATATTCAAGACCAACACAACTCATGAAAATGGCGAATCCGTCCCTTTAACCAAGTCACAATGGCCATATAAAAGTATATCTGATCTGATATCGTGTGTTTTATTGTCAGAGAGTGACATATCTAAATGTTCTGATAGAGATAATATCGAACTATTTAATTGGTAGTCGCGATCTTAACATCTTACAACTTAACTAGTTTGATATACGACTCGTTTAACAAGTAAGTTATAGAACTGAATAACTCAGAAGCAAAAAACTGAAGACTATGAAAACCCCAAATGCATTAAAGGAATTTGGGCGATTTTATTTTTCAATTTTACCATATTATATGAACTATGGTTTATATTTTTCAGGTAAAACACGAACTAAAGATAAATATAGAAATGTCTACACAGATCATCAACGATTAGAACTGGAAAAGGAATTCCATTACAGTAAATTTATCACCATCAGAAGAAAAACTGAACTTTCAGCTAAACTTAATCTTTCTCAAAGACAGGTAAGCTTTTGGAATTTTCAATCAATCGCAGTATAGTTACGGCACCGCTCTGTCGAACGGCTTTGTTGCATAAGCTCACATGGATTTAGCATTAGAATAATCAATTATTGAAAGTTGTTAATACAAGGAAGAATATCGATTTAGTTTTAAGATGAGATCGGTAAAATTCTATATAGTCTAAATTCAAAAAGCGACCATGTCATAGGACACACACTCGGCGAGGGCATATCAAATTATTCATCATAATAGATCCTACAGAGCATCTTTCTCACGTCCCACAGTCAAATTCGGAGAATTGAAGAGGCGTTATCAAGCTGTAAAAGCATCAATGTCACATAGTACCACAGAGCATCTGATGATCTTTCTAAGGTCCCAAGTCACACGACAATAGATCTGAAGATCAAAGTTAACAAGACAATAGAAAACTGCGATACATTAATCTCATTCCCCAATCTGTTAATTTCAGGTGAAAATCTGGTTCCAAAACAGGAGAGCCAAAGAACGAAAACAGAATAAAAAGGAGAAGAAAGGCGGGAACAATGTTGATTTAGATCTTGAAGACTCTCTATCACCGCCAACCATCGACAGCAATAACCTCATCAACAACAGCCATAGCAGCAACTCTGACCAGGAAAACACCCAACCGCAATACCAACAGCACCATCACCAACCACAATACCCTCATTCCTCCATATCCCCTCTTTCCAGCGACAACCTCTCACCACCGTCAACGATGCCGGAAACCATGTACAAGAATGTTCATCCACAGCATCTTCCACAAACTAAACCGGAACTCTCTTCGATGGACAGCTTTTATACTCGCTACATGCCCTATGCATCGTAAATAATGACACGGGTTGTGCTTTTGGGGTTCATTAAGTATAGGTGGACCCTTGATAATACTGATTTCACTATCTCGACGGAACGTTTTGTCAGGTCGGTTGAAAATAGTCTTCTTATATGACACGGAATGAAACACGTATTTTCGTTTGGAATGGTGGTCATTTTAAACACTCCACTATGTAGACGTGCGAATGAGACAAAACGTGTGGAAAGAAATGTCCTTAAAGACATGGATGTATATAGTTTTTATATTTTTGTTATGTTTTTGTTTACCCTCAGTAGAACACTTGCACTTAAAAATTACTTGACAACAGTGTACCACTAAAATATAAATGTTTTTGCCATCATAGATTTTGACCGATGTTAGTTCTTGTACAGTCAAAAGTAGCTTATTTCATACGGAGATTTTGAAGGTATGAAACCACCATATTTCTCGTTGTCTATATTTATTCAATCATAAGAGGCTTGTAAATTAAAAAGCATTACAGAATGGAAAATTACCACAAACATGAAAATCTTCCAAGTTGTATAAATTTCATTTAGAACAAACCCTGTGTATCTATATATATATATTTATTGTTGAAGAATAAAATCAATTATTCCTATCTCCGCTTTCTTGTTTGTGTATAGTTTTTTGGATATTTAGTCTATTGTGCCAATCTTGGTTGCTTTGATTCACAACAGAACTGTCTTTATTGCCAGTTCCCTTACATTTGTCTCGATTTTCAGACCCAGCTCTGATTGCTCGCAGCTTTCAACACTAACAAATCAATAAATAAATAAATCAAATACAAATTTCGACAATTCGTTTCGATTTTGTTTAACGTTAAGAATTACAAAACGAAGTAAATTGTTTGCATTTTAGCAAATTCTTACTTTGACTTTGAAGGTTTTTTGGCCTCTCCAACCTTTATGCTTGAAAAACATATATCTGTTATTATAGAATCTAGCACATTTATACCCAAACTAGCCAAAACAACCATTTAAACCAGAGGAATCTGATTTATAGACGTCTGATTGCCTTGTTCACGTCTGATTATTTTATGATTCTGAATGGTTCACAAACCAGTCTTAATGGTTGTTCTTGGCAACCGAGTAGAACGTGAATCATTGACATTTTATGTGACCCACAAAAACAAAACAAACGAAAACTTATCTTAAAACGGACAGCTTATCAACATCATAGGCGAATATTTACATAGGGAATAGTGGAAACTCATAAATTATGTCCCCTTACATTTACACTCTTCATTCTTGAAGTGTTGGAAAGTCCCGGCTGAAATGTAGACTCGAATGAAGCTCTTAACTTACTTACAAATAATGTTATGTTGTATGCATTGTAATTTGCATAATGTCAAAACCTCTTAAAATAAAACAGCAATGATTCAAACGCATAGCCACAGATTGAATCCGTGGGGAAAAAAGGCATTTGTGACATCAAAGGGAGGTGTGGGGCTGCTCCAATGGCATAATATAGCCGTATCTCGAATATCAAGACTCTAGGTGGACAGTCAGGATTCTATCTTGATGCTCATCGATTATGTAATGCCTAGTTTTTTTTTAAATATTTTACCCGTTTATAACATTGCATTTTTAATGTCGACTAGACTCGTACATCATGCAATGAACCAAGAGGGTAAAAGTCCGGATAACCGTGACTACGTGGATGGCGGAGACGAAAATTAAACATTCATTGAAGAGCACTAGAAGTTATTCCTGAGTTTTATGGCCCGGTCGTATATCACAGTGTATGAAGTGAATATGTTGACTTTGAATTGTTCACCCATCATAAATATGTAACGATTGTTTATCGGCTTGGACTGAATGTTTACTCTGGGTATTTTGGCAGGCGGACTTCACCGTCGTTTATAGCTTCTCATTGAAACTGCCAGGATCTTAACTATAACTGTGATTACACCCTTCCGTTCTAATTTGACCAGGAAATCAGGAAATTGGACTAAATGATTCAACTAGATTTGTGGGGGCTCTTGGACTTAAGTGGATTGGGGCCCTTCCCCGGGGAATTTTATACATATATGCCCTCCTACATTTCTAAGGGTGGGGGCCCGCGGACTTGCTGGTTCAACCAGTCCCCTATGATAGTTGAGCTACTGATTGGAATGGCATAACCTGTGATAGGGTAGCAGAATGATAGTTTGCATTATAAGCCCGTCAATTTTACCCCCACCCCCTCCACCCAACTTCTTACTAACCCAATCTAGTTCAACTTCAGTCATTAATCTGAACAGATTTAAATTGCTACAACATATTTGAAATTTTACAGATTTACATTCTATTTACTTAAAATTATAATAAACTGCGGTCAGACGATCAAACCTAATGGTTTCTGCATTATCTAATTACGTCATAAATTCCTTGAAAAGGCGGGAAATGTAACTATGATGACAGGATATGACATGTTTATGACGTGTTTATGACGTTCATCTGCGCATGAAGTGTGTAGTGACTTATGACCATCTTCACGAAATTCGTGTTGCACTCTTTTGTGATTGAAATTATACTCCCAGAAATGCAATAAAACTTAAGATCACGCACCAAAAGTCATCCCTGTTTTGTCGCTTGAGACAATTCGTAAAACACTTGACACCAGATGTCACCACGGAGAGGAAATAGATCAAAGGTGAAGGTCACAGCCTATGTATTAGATGATTATATACATATATATTTGATTTTTAAAGGGATTTCAGACAATTCGTACTATACTTGACACCAGATGTCACGTCGGAGAGGAAATGGATGAAAGGTGAAGGTCACAGGTGTAGGCTACTATAACCTGTGTATTTTTGAATGAGTAGTTAGAGCATATTTCTCATAAGCTTGTTTTTATCTACATGTATATTTTATTTTTAAAGGGATTGTTTATGACGTCACAAGCTCTGAAAACACTGCCTATAATCACAAATGCCGTATTTGATGGTTTTGAATTTTACGAATCCACACCCTGTCTTAGATTTATTTAAAATTTAAAGGTCGTTTGGTAGCCTCATATTATCCAGCCGTGGGGGTTAGCAATTAACCTCGAGGCCCTGTGCTCGAACGCATCATATCTGCATTCTGGGGTTTGCGGGAACCTGCATGTAAAAGTACCTAGTGGTCCACATATGGAGAAACCAATACCCTGTGTGCCATAAGATGTAGATCCGTTGAAAGCTGGAAATCTGGCTAATTGCCTTAAAAGGGGTAAAACCCCATTTCATTGCTAACCTCAACGACATTGCCAGCAGATTGTTTAAGCATTAAAAATAAAGAGACATATTCACTTTCAATATTTTTTCTTAAACAAAAATAAATATATTTACAAAATAATGCATGCAACAAATATAATTTCAAACGTACATTTAACGTGGTATTTCATGATCCATTTGACAATTCTTATTATGTACAAAATATCGCTTTAATGAACACTTTGAGTTATGAAAATCGAGAGAATTTCAGAAAATATCTTCGTGACAATATAATGTTTCTACAATTATTCACCATTTGACGAAAGCAAATAAAATGAAAATATCTAATAATAAAATAAAATTTAGATTAATTTTGGCGAATATCATCATGATTTAAATTATTCAAAATACATCTTATCTTTAAGGAAATAGTCAAAAAATTATTAGAAATCAATTTTTAAACACAAAATTTAATAATATCTTTGACGATAAAGCTGTAATACTTAACAAATATAATACACATCATAACAAAATACAGTAACAATCTCTATTCGGTCTCTCGTTTATAATAGATCTATTGACTCCAATATGGAGTGGGACAGGTACAGGGCGTAGAGGTGGGGCTCGTAATAGGGTGAATTAGATTGTGACATATTGACTCCACCCTAATGTTTAGCAAGTCTGTTTATTTGTGTGACCTCGACCAGTGCTTTACATAGTTGTTTCTATGTACGTCCTCACTCTTAATACATATTTTCACAGATGAAATACATAAATTCTTCACTCAAGTTTCATACTTTCAATGTTCAGAATCCACACAGAAAAATTCTGATCATCCATAAGCACCGTAATGAAAATAGCACATTTTGAAATCTTTGGTTCGTTTTTTGACATCACTGATAGCACTATTGGTTTGACAGGGAATGCGATATTCCAGCACCGAGATCAATCGCAGATAGTTCACTTTTCACCATAAGTTGGGGCATGGAAGTCGGGGGTGAGAGGACGGGGGAGGGGGATTGTGAGGGTGGTTGCTGATGCTGGGATTGAAGATGGAAGGAGTGGTGAGCGTGTGAGTGCAATTCTGGACTGATCATATTTGGTAAAGACATCGAATGGCTGGGTGACATTTCCTCATCGTAGTCCAATTTTCCAGGCATATCAGAATCACCATCCTTTCCCTTCTTGTTCTGTTTCCTTTCCTTGGCCCGGCGATTTTGGAACCAAATCTTGACCTGCAAATAAAATAATGATATATTGTCAAAATGAAAGAAAGGGGTCTAAACACTTCTCCTTGCTTGATGAAACTTATAAAAAGAGATGGTCTAATGAGTTCGCCTTGCTTTACCCCATTTTGTGTCTGTACAATTTCTTATCATTTTAAATGGAGAAAGGGTATCTTGAGAGCCTCTTTGGTAATTTTGTTGTCCTACTCGTCCCAACCCATGAAATGCCACTGCCTAAGCTGAAATGATTACTTCATAGTGAACATACCTGTCTTTCTGAAAGTTGTAACTGAGCAGCGATTTCTGCCTTTCTTCTGATAGTAATATACCTACTGTAGTGAAATTCCTTTTCTAATTCTAATCGTTGATGGTCACTGTAAACTACTCGATATTTATCTTTCGTTCTTGTTTTACCTGAAATGGGTCAAATGATAATAATTAACGATATTTCCAGAGACCACATGTTGCAGCTATAATTACAAATGGCTGACGTCGTTACTGAATGACATTTTAAAATGTTTGAGAAAATCATAAGCAACTACCTTATAATGTACATTTCCTTGTAAAGAATGAATTTTTTCCAGGTGTTCCAACCTTTAATATTGATAATATTTTCCTAAATGATTTTTAATATCATGTTTTTAATATTGATCTTTTCAAATTATGTACATTATATTTGTTATCATGTACAAGAATTATTTTTCCAGGCGTTTGGATGTTCAATATCTGAATAAATTTGGCTAACTTTCTTTTAAATGATTTTTAATATTATCTTGTCAAATTTCATTGAAGCACCTGTTGTTTTCTGAAGGTGAAAGTATTCCAACTATTTTAATCTGTATGATTAGATATTGTTTCACTTGTAATAAATCATAATTGATTGAAATTCTGATCAAATCGTCTGATTTAATGAAGAAATTATTATTAAATATTCAAGGGCTGCTACGTGTTTAGAAAAGTGTCCAACCGGACATCAAAGATGGTTTTTATCTTTGAAACAACCTGAACAAATCGACGTTAAAAACACTCCTTAAATTTGATTGATTCTTAAATCAAGTCAAAGACGAATATTTCTTTGTACAGACATGGAAATAAACAAAGACACATGTCGTGGAAATTGTGTCAAATTGTAGTTCTATTTCGATATATCGGGATATCGAGGATTATAAAGAGGTGGCTCTTCGGTTTCTGCAATTTCACTTAAATTAAGCTTTTTATGACGTCATTGTTGCAAATATTGCTATTTATATTATGACCTAGTATTGTCATTAAACGCTTAGTTTTAGCGGAATTGCAGGATCACGGACGTCTGATTGAAAATTGAAATGGTGCAAATTGATGCTATCAGTGTCCCGATAGACTTCAATCTTTGTACAATTCCTTTAATATTCCATAGAGGCGGCGCCATTTACCGTTATAAACTTGGTCACGAGTTCAACTAGTTTAGTTAAAGAAAATAATTAAACCGGATCATGCTTTAATTTAATCCGATTTAAACTCTTAACATTTTACTTTCCAGTGTAATCGTCCTCTTAACATCCCCTCTAGAATCCTGAACATCCCCTCACCGTTCGCATGATCAACTTATAGAAAAGGTGACAACAAAAATATTGACAAGTGGTGAAAATTACAGGTCGGTGTGGTCACTTTTCACTGGTTCTCAGTATTGTTTTAGTTCTTTTATCTCTTAATTTGACTGTCTATTGTTCTTAATTCCTTACTGGGTATTTTCACACAAAACTTGTTCCACCTTAAATATAACGTTAGGATATTTTATGGGTGTCCCCACCTCCCTAAACACCGCTATTAGACCTTAACGAGAAATAAACGATAGTGTTTTCCTAATGAGGGTTAACGTCTTGAAGTTTTATTGTCGACATCGTTAATAAGATAATAAACTATTGAGAACCGCGTTTTACCTACACTTGACAATAAATATAGATTCATTCAACAATCACCATACAACATAAGGTAGAAATTATTACTCTTAGATCATTTCGTTTCGCTTCTCGACTCCCGGTGAGAAATTTTACTTCACCGGTTACATCAAAAGGTTGGAATTGAAGAGAAAAAAGAAACGAATTGTCTTAAGTTTAGAGTCATGGATCATTAGGAACGAAATCGAGTTTTATGACTTTTTACTAAAATAGGGTTTTCAATTTAAGGAAATTTGCGGCATTTTCAAAAAGTTCACGAAGAAGTTTTTCTCATCAGACGAAGGAAGAGGCGTTTCTGGATTCTTATACTACGTCATAAATACGTCATCATAGTTTTTGTTCTAATATCTTCAAAGATTTGATAATTTGTTAAAAATATTTCTGATGGTGGCTGTTTACTTTAAAGTTAAGGGAAAAGGGGTCGACTATTTAACAATAAGATTTAGTTACAATATTTCACATGAAGACTAATATTATTTTGAAGACATTTTTTCATGTATTCTTATTAATGAAAGAATGGTCCTGGTTAGCTCTCCTTGAATCACCACATATAGAATTTATGGCGTAATAATATGAAATATACATAATTCTGCCAATTTTGCAAAGTAAATTCTTTTTTAGAAGAAAATTCGTGATGGAATATAAGAAGACAGTGGTACCAAGGACCTCTCCTTGAAGCAAACCAATATTATTTTTTGAAGAATTAAGCAATCCGTATCTAATTCGTTTGAAATTAGAGATTCACTATTTAAAAATCGAAATAAAAAAAATAATTATTTTGCGCTTCAAAATTCGAAATTACCGAATAATTGTCATGTTTCAAACGGCTTAGCGCTAGACAACTACCAAAATGTCAATATTCAAATGATCAAAATGAAATATCCACGAGCACAAAATCATCATCTCAGCATCTGTTAAACCATCCTTAATCCCTGCTAATCCCTTCTACATTATTAACCCATAAACAGACATTATTACATGTTACACAAACAGCGTTTTTAACAGAAAACACTTCATAAAATTCACCGACTCGTGATCAATATCAACCCCCCTTTAACCCTCTAAACACCATGCTGCTTTAATGACTTTAATATTTACTACTCGCCTGTATTTTGTCATTGACCCGCAAAGGGTTAATCTGCTTGTTCTCGTGTAACTTTCGGGTGGAATTTCACTCTCAGTGTGGAATGGTTTGCACGTGTCCGTCAAATGAGACAGAATTAATACTCTCTCTGTATCAATGCCGAAATTGTTTGCTTTTAGAAACGTTTGAAATCGATACATGTTTGAAGAAATAACGGCCTTTGTATTAATTAAAACTTAGATGGTTTAAGGGAATTTGCTCGTTATATTTAGCTAAATATTTTGCATAAAGTATATGATCTACAGAGGTGAATCCAAGGAGTTTCAAACGTTTATTCCTCTCCAAATATTGTCGTAAATAATTATTTTTTCATTTATTTATAATGAGCTAATTCTGTAGCAAATGTGAGGATTTCCAGTCCTTACTTTTTATATTTTGTCTACGTTTCGGTTATATCACATTGTACTTCAAGAGTAAAATATCAAATTGTGGAATATATGAAAACATAAAACGAAATTGTTTTCAAAATCTAAATTTCTCGATAATGTTATTATTTTAATTTAATTTGATTCTTTTCTAATCATGAAAATATATATGGTTAATTTTTGACTAGAATTCAATTGGACAATTTCGGCCGATTTGTGGAATGAGGATCCAGCGATGTTGTATAATCTTACGCGAATTCAAGACGCAGTTCCCTAATCCAGTGCCCTATTCTTATCTTAACTTTCATTGAAATATTTCAAAACCAATGATACTTAACCCTTTTTCTGTCGAATATAAAAGAAGAAATCTTGAAGGTGAAAATGTTATTGTTTAATAATGAGGTGGTATCATAAAGGGTTAACATTAGAGTCAAAACGCCTTGACCAATTGAAGAGTTTAGGGTATTGTGGGGGTTAATTGAGCCCTACTATTTGTATTGTTATTTAGTTAAACTACCATAACACAACTTGTCAACAAAAACAATTTTATTTTCTAGCCTGGAATCTTCGTGTCAGATTTAAATATTTTTATTTCACACCTTTCCTAGTCGCCCCACTGTCGCCATCTTGTCTCGGCTACCGTCAAATTTCACCAATTTTCTCTACAAATCCCGGGACGATTAAATGAGTTTATCGGATATTAGGGGATTAAGAGTTCATTATTTGTAAATTAAATTCTATAATTGTTTTATTGGATATCATTTAGATGATTTCAGATTATCAGAATCCAGAATATTTTTAAAATATTAAAATAGATACCATCTATATCTAGATATAGTTCGGTACATCAAAGGAGGCATAGTTTTGTTCAAAATATTATCGTTTCCTATCTGTGACAGAAAAATTAAAACGACAAAAAAGTTAAACTAAGAAATATGTAAAACTAAGAGGTATGACCTTTCATTTATTTATTTTTTTAAATACATCCTGATTTTTCAGATTTTCTACCAGTTTTTGAATTATTTTTAGTATTATTCGTTTTGGGTTTAAAGTCTCGTGGACTCATGAAGAATTTTTAAAAGGAATTGAACATAGAGTATATTATAACAAATCGGAAAACATCGTGAAAATTATCAGAAACATGAAAAATAGTAAAATAATTTAATATGCCAAGGTTAAAGGTCATTAATTAATTAATTTTACGACACCTGTAATTAGATTTACCTAATGACATTACATGGCACGTGACATCACCAGGTGGCCCACTTGTACAGGTAAAATTTGGAACTGATACTACTAATTTTGGAATTTATAATATTTGAATTTTAACTAATGTAGATTTTTGAATTTAAGAAATTCGAGTTTAAAAAAAATTCTAAATTCAGTAAAGATGAAAACAAAAAAAATATTTAATTCTCCGAACATAATAAAAAAAACTTTGAAACCATCATTTAACTTTACAAACAAGAATTAGAATTTAACGCTCACAGAATTGACGAAAAATAAATAGAGATATCAATTATATCCAAAGTAAATTTGGAAAGTATTAATACCAATACAATAATTTTTACTCAGCCAAATAGATTCTATACTATTTTAACAAAGACTTCGATTTTATTTTAGCCATTTCATATTTGTTTCCTCTCTCAGATTTATATCATCATTAAATAAATATACCGATACCCTAATATTATTAGATGCGTTAAATTAACAAGGGGTAGTCCGACAAAGTGAACATCTCCTCGCCACTCTTAATGAGACCAACTAGAGTATACCTTTTGCAGTATAGCTTTGAATTATATATCATTTTGAATTAAGATTGTATTATTTGAGAAAGTTGGTTCTGGGCGATCAGATATTAAAGAGAAGAATTTACATACCTGTAACGGGTTGTGTCTGGGCAGGTTTCATCCATTCATAAGGCGCTCTCAAAGCTTTGGAAATACTGGAACCGGACCCGTTGGGGCTGTCATCTCCTGACGACGATGTGAGGGGTGGGGAACCATTCAATGGAGAATGACCGTGACCCATATGTGAATAATCTAACCCCATGGTAGAGGATATGGGTGTTCTGTAGGAATAGTTATACGCCTGCTGCATGGAAGAAGTTGCAGGAACCATATAGCCGCCTTGATTCCATTCGTCCAGGCCTCCATGAGATGATCGTGGTGCCGTTCCATACATTCCGGCCCAAGGTGGTTGTTGGTATGACGTTTCCGGAACAGTGCCATATTGGCTGTATTCTTGACCGTAACCGCTAGCTTGAGTCGGATATCCAAACGGAGGAAAGTTGAAACTGGTCGGACTGGGTCTGGAGGTAAACATAGAGTTAGAGTTTTCATGACACACCGCCATTTTGTAGACTGTTTATGATCCCGGAGAAATATTGAGCACAATAAAAAAATAAATTGTTAGTTTTTAGTATGATGAGGTTAACCGTAAATAACGACTATAAACTTGGATAAATTTCGCCAATAACCATAAAATCACAAATCGCACCTTTGTATTTCACTATTAACTCTGCTAATACAGAATAAAATACAGCATATACTCGTATTTACGTACGTTATTACTCATAACTCCGCCCATTGATATCACGTGATAAATCATGACATTAAACCACGCCCATGTCACTAAACAACATGTTGATTGTGGCATTATGCAAATTTGTCGGCATACTTCAAAGGAATATTCCGATGTAAGCGATATCCTTAACGAGTCTAAAATTTGATTTTAATGAGAGAATTTCTTAAAAGAGTTTTGTGTATGAGTAAACCAATGGTTTTATTATCAAAAGACAATATATTGTACAATTTACACAAATATTTGATTTTCAAAATTAAAATTTATGGCTATTTTTCGTGGAGAGTACAATTAGACAGACGCCTTAGTACTCGACTTGTTAATTTTCTTAATTTCTTTGATTTGATTGGGTTCATAAATTAATTTCGATGCCATCAATTGAATTGTCTGAAATGAAATTGAATTTTGCGTCCTACTTTTCTGGGACCTATCTGTGATGGAAAATTGCCATTTTCTTTTCGATTTAAAAAATTGAAAAAATTTTGGAATAACCCTCTCCCTCTTAAGTTACAAAACGTTGGATGGTTTCTTTTTACATACGAATATTTTAGGGAGGATGAAATTAAATTTGCTCTGAAAAAATAATTCACAGATTTTACAGGTTACAGGTTTTGTAGGAATTTATAATAAAAAAATTATGAAAAATGAGTAACAAGTTACTGTTCAATAAAAGGCGCTAGCACAGGGTTAAAGTATTGTTTACAACTATTGTGGTGTTAATATTTAGTAAAATAAGCAAGTAATTTAGAAAGGTAGGCAAAAAGAGAATCAATCTTAAAAATGATTTCAATGGTATTTTTTTTTCTTGCAAATTTTGCGATACATATAAAATCGCAATAAATTTTTTGGACTTTCAAAAATATGGATATTTATTCAAATGATTTATAGTGACATTATATTTACGTAGTTTCTACATTTTTTAAATATCATATTTTTTTTCTATATTTTGTTTTAGAAATTATAGAATAATATTTATGAATGATCCTTAGATGTAAATTAAACAAAATTCTAAATTAAATAAATAAGAATACTATAATTATTATTGTATGCTTGATAATGATTCCTGTATGTGAATTGAAACGTTGCTCAAATTAAAGAAAGGAGGAGTATATCCATAGCCACCCTAGCTAATCTATAAAATTGTGTATGGTTTTTTTTTATCAAACTAAATTCCCATAATTTTCTCAGACTCTTTGTATAGAAAAGTTGTGAAGACAGGCGGCGATGTGAATTGTCCAGTCGTTAATCTCTCTAATAATATATTAATCCAGGAAAAGCTATCATACCTACTGATCGCGACCATCGTAGTCTAATAATTAAAACATAATAAAACATTACTAGATTGACATTGATCGGTCTAGATCACATTGACTATATTGATTTTACGACTTGTTGATTTGGTCTATTATTCTATAATCATTATTCAATAATGGCATTGATAGATCTGCTTATTCGAATCTTGTATGAATCATTATGTTTTTGTTTTAGTCTTGTTGACCTTGTCTATTACTGAAAACCAGTATTCAATTAAAGATATTAGAGACTTGTTGAATTTGTCTAATCTATAATCATTATTGAATAATGACATTGATAGATCTGGTTATTCGAGCTTGCTATGGATCAGATCCAGTCTATTAGAGACTTGTTGAATTTGTCTAATCTATAATCATTATTGAATAATGACATTGATAGATCTGGTTATTCGAGTCTGCTATGGATCAGATCCAGTCTATTAGAGACTTGTTGACGTTGTCTATTCTATAATCATTATTGAATAATGACATTGATAGATCTTGTTATCCGAGTCTAGTATGGATCAGATCCAGACTATTAGAGACTTGTGGACGTTGTCTATTCTATAATCATTATTGAATAATGACATTGATAGATCTTGTTATCCGAGTCTAGTATGGATCAGATCCAGACTATTAGAGACTTGTTGACGTTGTCTATTCTATAATCATTATTGAATAATGACATTGATAGTTCGAGTCTAGTATAGATCAGATCCAGACTATTAGAGACTTGTTGACGTTGTCTATTCTATAATCATTATTGAATAATGACATTGATAGTTCGAGTCTAGTATAGATCAGATCCAGACTATTAGAGACTTGTTGATGTTGTCTATTCTATAATCATTATTGAATAATGACATTGATAGATCTTGTTAGTCGAGTCTAGTATAGATCAGATCCAGACTATTAGAGACTTGTTGACGTTGTCTATTCTATAATCATTATTGAATAATGACATTGATAGTTCGAGTCTAGTATAGATCAGATCCAGTCAGTACTCAATTAAAAATATTAGAAAAGGTTAGACATTGATAAGGTCGTGTAGAAAAAGGTGTGATAATCCTGCCTATTTGTCTATCGTTGAAATTGAATGAAGCCATGGCAGTGATTATTTGAATTCGATGGAGACTTCAAAACTATTTCACCCGTGGGAAAAAATTAGATGTAAATTTTGAATTGACAGTGTCCGATACCGTAGATCGTGGCAGCACTGGTCGAGGAGAATCTGTATTATATTGCATGTGACATTGATTAACGCAAATCCGATGCATCGAATCTTGGGAATCAGAAATCTTTTGTTTATCTTGGAAAACCAGAAATTCATGTGTAAAATTGGAAAAGCCTTTGTCAGGTCATTTGACGCCAATTGATAAATCTTCAATCTTCAATCCTAGGATAACAATCGCTTTAAAAAGAAATTCAGGTGTAAAATTCAAATTCCTCCTCTCGTTTTTAAATCTTCAAGACCAAGAACTCTGACGGCATTAGTTTTTGTCGTATAACTTTTGACACCGATTGATTTAATCTACAGATTTTCTGAATAAAAAAAAGGTGAAAAAAATGTAATTGTCGCTGTCCGGTCCGAGGAGACTTGACGGCACTGGTTGAATCGATTTTGTTTTCGTTTGACACTAACTAAAAAGACCAAATAGTCCCTGAATCACGAGAAAAAGAAATTCCTTGTTCAAAATTTGAATTGACAGTTTTTCTGATTTAATATTACATTAATATCATTGATACTGATCATCATTAAGTCTTTACCATGAATACGAAATTTTTAAGTCCCCATTGCACCTATTTACAAGCGAAAAAGATTTGGAAGAAATTAGGTAAAAAATTCATCATTAGACCTACAAAAAAATAAGTATGGTAAAAGTCCATGCCCCAGAACCCCGCGCCATATAAATGAAAAATTCAACACCCCCTTTGTCAAAGTCGCCACGTGACTGGTAAATCCAAATCAGAATATTGAATAAAACTTGTGTGCATTTATATCATAAATTGATGAAAATATAAAACAACGACATACATCGTATGTAAAGAAATGAGCACGTGCTTTATGGCGCCATATTTTTACTATTTTATGAGCGTGGTATATTTAACAGTAAATGGTTATATTGCTCTCTCTCTCTCTCTCTCTCTCTCTCTCTCTGTTCCTTTATTAATATATCTCATCATTATCTGTTTCATATCTTATACTGCTTCTTCAGTGGGATGTAAGAATTTAACGAAATTATCGTTGTTATCTGTGGGATATATGCTGTCTGAATGAGACGGAACATTGTAGGAATTTAACGAAAGGTTGTTATCTGTGGGATATATGCTGTCTGAATGAGACGGAACATTGTAGGAATTTAACGAAACGTTACCCCTCAGAGGATGTATGAATTTTAAGGACCGTTGCTTTTCTTCGGACGACGTAAGAATTTTACGAATGTAACGTTGTCGGATGGTATAAGATTTTATAGAAACGATGCTTCTTATGTAGGATATCAATGTCGAAGAGTGACAAATCGTTGCTTTTATTCGAAATTTTCGAAACGTAGCATTCCTTTGTAGGATATAGGAATTTATCGAAACGCTACACTTCTTGGCAGGATGTAAAAATTTATCGAAACGTTATACTTCTTGGCAGGATGTAAGAATTTGCATCGAAACGTTACACTTCTTGGCACGATGTAGGAATTTAACGAAACTTTATTTCTCTCCGCAGGATGTAGGAATTTATCGAAACGTTACTCCTCTACGGCGAATGTAAGAATTTAACGTTACTTTTTCGGAGGATTTAGAAATTTTTATGGAACGTTGTTTTTTGCAGGAAATGCTGTAAGGTTGTAGGATGTCGGAATTTTTCGAAACGTAATTTCTTAGTGAGATCTGGAAGTGTGACGAAACGTTAATTTTGAAATGTTTTTGTTACCTCGGAATTTATCGAAACGTTGTAGATTTAGTAATGTCTGAAATCAATTTATAAAATTTCCAAACTTAAAAATCCATGCGTGACTTTTTTGTTCCAGAATTATTGATAATGCAATTAAATAGTGATTAAACCTGAGGAAAAGGTGATCAAATTTGATTCTATCATTGATTTTATTTAGAATTTACAAAGTCTATCAATTACTGACGACCTTACATTTTATAAAATGATTATTTCGGGGTTTTTTAAATTTTGATTTTTGAAAATAAATGTTTTGAATAGATGGAATGTTGATTTTAGTATTTATGAATTTACTAATTTACATTTTATAAAAGATGGTTTTAGAATTAATTTAATGATGGTTTTAGAATTAATTTAATGATGGTTTTAGAATTAATTTAATGAGGGTTTTAGAATTAATTTAATGATGGTTTTAGAATTAATTTAATGATGGTTTTATATTTTATAGAAGATGGTTTTACATTTTTATGAAATGATGGTTTTAGAATTAATTTAATGATGGTTTTAGAATTAATTTAATGATGGTTTTAGAATTAATTTAATGATGGTTTTAGAATTAATTTAATGATGGTTTTAGAATTAATTTAATGATGGTTTTATATTTTATAGAAGATGGTTTTACATTTTTA